ATTGTTTCAATCAGATATTTTAGCTTGTTCCACCTAGAAAAGATACATTTATAAAAGCACAAATAGTGAAACATGTTATAAGTAATTATTTGAAACCCCTTAATTAAACAATTTAATAATATTAAACAAAGGTAGAAAAACATAGAAGAATGTCACTACTTGGGCTTAATTGACAGAAAAGGCTGATGTGAGATTAAAGAGCATGCATGACCTGGGTAGGGAATGTGTATATACCTTCACATTAACTGAAAGAATTAGTACAAGTGTTCACAGTGTATTTGAAGTGCCATAATAGTCAATTCCAGTGATTTTTATTTCTAGTAATTAAAATATACACAAATGAATTTAAAACTCCAAGCATAAACATTACTTGCTCACTGATCTATTATCACACTGCTAACAGATCAAGCTTAATCAAGTTCCATCAGTTTTTTTGTGATTCTACACATGATTAGATAAGTCTCATTTCATTTAGTCTCTAAATAGCTTCATTTTATTACAGTCAGAGATAAGTAAGTTTGTGAAAGACTTGCTGTCTTGTTCTTTAACCTGTTTAGCCAGAACAATTACTGAAGAAAAATTAAACACCTGGACTAAATATATCCCATGAGTAACTTTCCTGACTAGAACTCTATCAAGTTACTGATAGCAGTAGCATCATTAAAAAAAAAGCAGTTAAACAATTTCCTTGGAAGGAATTTGGCCACTTAAAAATAGTTGCTGGATTCTAAGCTTCACAGTCAGTGTTTCTCAGTGGCTTCAGCAGGGTGACCTTGGCTGCTAACAGCTGAATTCTCTGCTGCTGTAACAAAAGGTGTTGAAATGCTGATGCTGTTTCCTGGACACCAATCTACACTAAAGGCATGGGATGGAGAAGGAAGCACAATCCTCATGTTAAACTGAAACAGGAAGGACAGGTAAAAAAGAAGGAGGGGGAGTTTGCCCCATGTTTGGAGGGCACTATTCTATGGAACAGACACCAGCCTCATTGAACTTGAGTTCAGGGATCAGGGAAGAACTCAGACACTAAAGGTGTGATTTTCCTACAGACTACCCAAAAAGGGCAAAATAATGGATTGTGTCCTATGAGTAACTTGAAAAAGTCTCTGGCTCGCCCTGGCTCTCATGGGATACTAAGCTCCCTGACACCTGCTGACAGCAATCCAGGAGATCTGGGACCCAGGAGGCAGTCTGGGACAATCCCTTGACACAGACAGGCCAACCGGGGCCTGGCTATCCTGGTCCTACTACTCACAAACACAGGAGTGCTGGGGACATGCTAATCCTGGCAGCCTTGGCTGTAGCAGCCTCCAAGCTGGGGCAGGAAAGGCAGAGAGCACATCTGGACAGCTGACTGGCTTATTCAGGGATCAGCTACAGGATCCTATGTAAGGCTGGTCTGAAAGCAAGAGTTTGAGAGGGTTGACAAGTATTCAAAGACAAGCTCCTATGAACACAAGAATGATCCTTCTGAATACTCAGGGATGGAAGGGGGCGAGAGAAGAATGTAGGCTATAAGGAGAATGATGTGGATGAATGAGGAACTCATGCCTGAGAACCAATGAAAAAAGAATATAAAAGGGAGTTGGAACCAAAGACATACTTGAAAGGAAGAATACTGAAAAAGTACCTGGGTATGCAGGGCTGCTGTCAGGAAAAGTGCTCTGAGGGCTGCAACTAGCAGAGAGCAGCAAAAGCTTCTACTGCTACTTTAGCAATAAAACAATAAAGAAAATACAGCCCACTGCTGTGTGAGGCAATGACAAGTGACAGCTACTCAGAGCTTCTTTTGCCTCCCTGCACTGAAATGCTCTCCCAGAGATAAAGAAGCACAGGAAACACCAGGGATGGAAGCAGCATCTCACAGAAAGTTTCAAGCCAGGCGATCCCATGGGACTGACAGGATGAATCCAAGAGTACTGAGAGTGCTGGCTGATGTCACTGTGAGGCACTGCTCTATAATCATCAAAGGGCTGTGGAGCTGGGATGTTGCACTCTGGATGACTGGAGAACAAGACGGATGAAGAACTGGCTGTTGGACTGGAGCAGGACTGTTGGGCTTGGGGTGTATTGGTAATGGAACAATATGGGAAGTTTTCCTAAAACCAAACAGAAGGTTCCAACTTTATATGAGAACAGTAACATTTTTAGAAATAAATTTCCAGAGTTTTAGAAAAATGTAGTCAAATAAACACATAATTTGAGCAGCAATATTCTACAGATTACCATTTTTGTCATACTAAATTACATTATACTTAATGCACACAAATGCCTTCATTAGGAAGTCCTTCATTGTCATGGTGTGCCCAAGTGTAAGCACTGAGCTCACAGAAATTATATTCAGTACATAGTTGCACTATAAGGTATCACTTAAAATTCTTGATGTGATTGTACCACAATATTAGTGTTACCAAGAATAGATATCCTATTCTTGATTATGTAATCAAGAAAAACTTCTGGAAATAATATTCAGAGTACAAACTACTTTTAATCAGCAGCTAAATACCAAGATATGATTACTTCGTTGCTCTAATGACATCTGTAATGGATTCCAAGTGCTGTGCCTGATTGCTTCCCAGCTGATCAGGATTCTGTTCATCACTTCGAGCTGTTGGAATTCTGAGATTTCTTGGAGTTCCTCTGCAAAAGCCTTCAACACTGGTTCAGCTAAATGGCTACAATGCATGCTTTAAAACAGTCCATCAAAAACTTTACCCTTGTTACTCCATGATAAAATGTTTTAAGAGGAGAGGAAGATCTGTATTGCCCACTTGTTTTTTACTGACAGGCACTCATTAAAAAGCTGTATAATCTCCCTGTCCTTTTAGGCAACTAGCCCAAGACTGCTAATCCACGGTATCTGCACCACAGTCACTGTTATTTCTGCCATCAGTTTAGACAGAAAGACAGAGGGCAGTAAAATTATACTTTTATGTACAACTTAATGGTTAAATTGTACTTATATGTTTATCAACACACGGCAGAGCAAGCATTTGTATAAACACAAAGGCAATAATGAAGTAATTGTTCCAGCTGAATATTCTACAATTCCTTTTAATAGTGCATTTCCTTAACCACTTTATATAACTACATGATAACGCAGGCTTGAAAATTATTAACATAATTTCAATCACCAAGGAATTATTAGAGAAGTTAAAATATGGTGGCTCAAGTGAGGTAATCACAGAATCACTGAATCATTTAGCTTGGAAAAGACCCTTAAATTTACTGAGTAATGAACTGCTCTTCCTTGCAATTTCTTGGAAATTGCACAAGGCAGCTTCAAATATTTATACAAGGCACAGCACATCCATCACACAATGCAGGTGATCTCACCAGTACAATCCACTCAGCTTCTTTCACGTCTGTTAGCAAAATGAATAATGCTAATGTTTTGCAAAGCCCTGACAGGTTTGTATTTAAAACATAACCAAGTCTGAGACATACACTGGCAAAAGGGACAATAATGACTACGGAGAACCACTGCTAGGGAAAAAAACCCCAATCAAACCCAATACAGTAAATACCACAAATAATACTTACTGTATCCAGGCATTCAGTGCCCAGCGGAAGTCAGAAGACTGCTGGCTCTAGTTCACACTTAAACTCTACCAACAGAGAAGCCCTTGTTGTTTCAAGTCAAAAGAGACAAAAGTACTCAGAACTTTGCACTGTTTTATGAGTATTTGAGAAAAATCCAGGTAAAAAGAAACTAACTTAGCCTCCAGGATTATTTAAATTTTTTTAAGTGAAAGATCCTTTTCAACAGGATGTGTAACACTCATTATTTGTCCTGACTTTTTTTCCTCTTACAAGGGATACTGAAACAAAAATATTTGGAACACCTACACGAATTAGAAGTCCTAATCAAAACATTTATTAGAAATCTGCTATTGGAAGATGATTCCAAAATTAATGGAAGCACATAAGCCAATAAAACTGCATCGTGGTGTACTTTGTGATCAAGCTATTGAGGTGTTACACAGTAGATTCAATCAAGCTTAAATCTGTTGGTTTTGACACTTTCCCACTCTTTCAGCAAAACTGTGTCCTGATCAAAAGAAAGTCTATAAATACTGTCAATCAATTTGACAGCTAAAGTCTTAAAATTAACATTGTGGGACACTGAAGAAATTAGTGAAAGGTCTCCAATGTGTTTGAAGCCCTGCTGCGTGAGCAAGGGCTGGGAAGCAGCTCCTCAGGTGCAGGTGGAGTGTGAAGCAGAGTGGAACACAAGGCACAGGATGTTTGCAGGCTCCCTGGGTGGATTGCAGTGCTGGCAGTGACAGAGACAGGGCTTTCTGCAGCTCTGCTGCTTATCAGGGCTAAAAAATGTGAAGCACTGTGCTTACATCTGATTTCCAGACCACTCCTCAGCAAGTAACACCACTTCTAATTTCACTTCTAAGAAAAGCACTTCTCTTTCTTGTAATTCATCATTCTGGTAGTTTGTTGCTCTTACTCTCAGTGTACAAAGGAACACACTGCACTCAAGAGTCCCACAGCCACAGGACAGAGTTGCTAGAGCTTGAACTCACTGACCTTTAGCATTTTAAAAACTTAAGTATTTTAATTTATTAAGCACTAGAAATCTAGAGAATTCTCTGAGACTTATTCACATTAGGTACTCAAAATGACATATCTATTTTTTTCCATTTTCTTGGCATTAGTTTCCCCTAGAGCCCCTTTTTGTCATCTCAAAGCAATCTGTTTAGAAGAAAGACTTTCATTTCAAAGAAAATTTCCTACTGAAAATAATTAATTAATGAAAGCAGCCTTAAGATGAATGCTACAGGAAGTCAGATGAAGAAATCAGAATAATATCTCAAGAATCATCTACAAATCATAGTTTTTTTCCTGTAAAACACCAAAACAGGACCTAATACTAATGATACTTATGAAAGACTATTTTGAAGTCATTAAATTAGCCTTATTGCCAATCTGAAATATAAAAAAAAACTTGATTTACTATCTCCATTCTACATTTTTAATTGCCTTACCTGGCATTCCATGGACAAGGTCTCCACACAGCACAAAGAACTTGGGTTTAGGGTTTAGTTTGTTAACGGCCTGCACTGCTTGCTCTGCTAATTTAATTTCTTCTTCCCATTCATCATCTCCATTGTTAGTGTCTCCATGTGTCCACGCTTTCATCAGTCCAAACTGAGGATCTGCTCCTTGGATAAAGTAGAAGGGCCCCTTCCATTGGTACTCAGCATCTAAGAAGAAAAAGGAGGAAAAAAACACCCAGTAGAGACTAAAAGAGAATGAAAGCTTCCACACATCATTAAATTGATTGTTCTTCACCTCAGTAGGTTGACACTGCTTTAATGCAAGTACAGAATTCTGTACTCATTCATATAGGACAAATACAAAGGGAGAAGTACAAATTTTTCCTCTAACATGTAGTTGTAATAAATGAAAGTATATTAATCTAATTATACTACATAGTAATTACAGACTGATTAGAGGAGAAATATGTGAAGAATTCAGCAAATAGTGCTGGAAATTATGAGACTACAACACAGCACAAGTGTGTAACATTAGATTTCAGCTGACTCTTTTAAGATTCCAATTATTGCTCCTTTAATTAACAAGTTAAAACATACACAAGTTTCACATTTTATGGTTCTAGTAGACTTTTTCTTAAATTATTAAGGACTTAGATGTTTTTTGTTCTCATAGCTTTACAATAAAGTTGGATGTAGCACATTCTTTGCAGTCAGAACTGAAGCTACTCAACAGGACCAAAGCCATCAAACACTAAACCTAGCAACATCAGAATCATCAGCAACTATCAAAAAAAAAAAAATCCAAATTTACTGCTGCCACAATTGCTCCCAAGACCTACAACACAAAGGTGAGCACTCAGAAACAAATTTTCATTGATAGAGTCAACGTATGCAGAGGACAGGACAGAATCTGTACTGGTACCATTTTTTGTTTACTTCTTTCTCAGTATTGTAATACCAAGTACAACAAATAAAGGGTGATATATATGACTACAAGCCCATTTGGCAGAAAGAAATCTCAACACTGGGAAAATAAAACAAGTTGGCTACAAATTTAAAACAAAAATGGGTAGCCTACACTTGTCTCAAGCTGGAATTGAAGTATAAACACAAATACACTGTGGTTTCTCCAGCTGTCTATATGCATTCATTTGCAACCTGAATATTTTAATTTTGACAGCTCTATTTGACTTAATACATTTACTGCTGTTGGAGGTTTTTAAACAGCATTTAAACTGTTAAAAACTCACTGACTACTACTGATCTATAGCTGAATCTAAAAAGAAAAGATAAAAATGATTTAAAATTAAAATATAATCCATAAATATACTCTTATATCATGTCAGTCTGATCTGAAATTCATTTTGAGGCAAAACTAGTCTTCTAGTAACAGTAGAGAAGTAGCATGTCCAACACATGGATGTACATTTGATTTCCTTCCACAAGCTCTAGAACTGAAGCTTCACACTTTTCAAGAAGGGGAGTGTGTCTCTTTCAAGCAAGGTTAGAAAACAGAACTCAGAATTCATCTCTTGCACCATGGATATGGATAGGCTGGAGTGAGGGATGAGGAATGTTGGCAACTCCCAGAAGCTGCTTGTAATTGTCATCTGTTGCTATGGTATCAGATCATTTTGCCAAATGAAAGCTTCTGCACTTTAGTTAAACTAACATTTAATTTCTAAACAAAATTATTTATATACTAGCACTGACATACTCTAAATAATAATCATGTATTTTAAAGACACACAATTCTAGCCACTCATTGGCTTTTAATTCTGAAATAAAATTTATTCTTCAAGTTATGCAACTGTTCAGAGATGTGAAAGGATCCATCTACCCATGAGTTTGCAGTAGAAGCCTTATGGAACCAGTTGAATGCCATAAAGTAATTTAGGTTTTTATTTTATGACTTGCATGAAAAAATATAATTGCCAGAAAAGCAGCTTACATGATGCAGTAAAGGCACTGTTTGTGCAGAGGTATCAACTTACAGTTTTTATAGGTGGAAAGCTATAGCAAAAAAGTCAGTTAAGGAAGCTTGCATCAGAAACCCTTTACAACCTCTACAAAACAATAAAAAATAAAAAAAGGGAATGTCTGAAACAGGAACTTGGTTTGGAGAAGTATCACAATTTATTCATTAAGTGGAGAAAAAAAAGATCAAACCTTTGAACAATATGGCAGGACTACTAATACCAGTCCCTCTTCCAGCAGCTTGACAGACAGTACTGATAAATCAAGGCTGGGCAAAATCTAGTTGTTCCTATTTTTTATTCTGAAGCCAGTATTTTTACCATAGTAGCCTAAGTAAAATATAGTTACATTTATTTATTTTTACAGAGACTAAGAAAAAAGAGCTAGCATTTGTTTTTTAAAGACTGTGTTTCAAGTATGGACAGACTGTGTTATCCTTTCAGAGCCTCAGCAATGGTGGGTGGTAGCACAGACAGCTGGAGCACCTGGAGCAGTCCTGGCTGGGTGGCCCAGGCAGCAGGGCTGGCTCAAGTCCCAAGGAACAGGGAGCTTTGGATAGAACACTTGAACATAAACAAGGAAGCAGACAATGCACAGTCAGGGAGCAGGTGGGAAAAGCAGACTAGGGGTTATTCTAATATATGCTTCAGGGATATTTTATTTTCCTGACTTATATTCACGCCAGTGCAGTAACACTCTAGGTTTTAAGTACCTGAATGTTTCTAAGACTGTGCACAGATGCTCTGGTTTGAGTGGGTGAGTGATGGTCATGTGAGGCAAAGAGAGAGACTGATAAGATGATTTTCAAAAGAGAAGTTCAGTACACAGACAGAATCAAGAAATGGCAGAAGAAAGGAGAAACAGAAGATGCAGGGGTGGAGGTGGTGAAGAGTGGGGAGAAAAGGAAGGAGATAGGAGGTGAAAAAAGAAAGGAACTGAAAATGATGCAAAGGTATATGCTATATTCTCCTGTAGGAAAGAAAAAGATAAAATGAAGAAAGTGAAGCAGGGATATCAGAAGACAGCCAGGAATCGGGGCTACATAAATACCATTTAATTAAAATGCTAGTTTAATTAACTGGTCTTAGTCAAGTAATTCAGTCAATAGCTATTTCTGTGGCATTCAACAACTCATCAAATAGTTATAAAAATAACAGTAAGGTTGAATAAATATTTTCTACCTTTGTCTTGTTGTTTGATCACCCCAACCAGAAACACAAAAAAACAGCCCTAGTACTTAAATTCTATTTAGCTTATTACTTACCAATTGGTACTCACTGATTTTGCTTCCCATGAAACCAAAGTGTATGGGAAGAAAATAATGTTACGACACTGTTTAGACTTACAACTTAACTTTTTCCTTAAAGTCAGGAACGTGCTTTAAATACTGCGAAGTACTATAAATATAAAAGCAGAATATCATGATGACAGTTGTGTAAGTACACTGCCACTGGTGCAAACTTGCACCTGGCAATCTGAAGTCTGTTTTGAATTCAGCTCACCCAGGATGTAATTCTTGAAGTGCCCTCACTGGTGTGTCTTCAGAATTGCTTTTCCAAGTTTCTCCTCATCTGTGCACGCCATGACACCAGTCCAGCTAAAGTTTCAAGTGTTGTTACTAGTGCAATTTCACTAATTCTGCTGAAAACCCCGTGACTATGTATTCATGAGTGCTCTTCCAACAATATAGTAAGAGGGTGGCAACAAGAAACAGCTGGGAAAAGCATCTCCCACTACCAAAGTTGGATCCAGACATCTTCTGCCTTACCATGAAATGGTTTATCAATGGAACCTATTCAGATTATTATTCTGAACCCTCCCTTTCTCCCTCACCAACTGCTTGTTGGTACCCACAGAACAGGTACTGTGGGCCAGCAAATGAACCTTGTCTGCCCTGTGAGGCCCCACAAGCCCTGTTTGAACCCCTTCTCTGGTCTTTGCACTGGATCTCAAGAGCAGGATTCAGAGAACATTCTGCTCCCATGCTGCGGGTCTGCCCAAGTCTGGCAACCCTAACGCACACCACTGGACACAAATGGTGGGAGGGCCAACAGCTGCTTCTGCAGCCATCCTCTAGTCATGATCCAGGTCCCAGCTGCTATTCTGAAGGTATCAGTTAAATACCATGTACAATGGCTATCATTATTTCTGTGGGAATAACAATAAAGGCATCCTTCTCACTAGGAGTTTGAATTTTAAAGCCTTTAGATGAGCTATATAGTTGTATTAGATGAAGTGCATGCTAGGCAAAACAATAGAAGATTAGGATTCAATTAATAATTTTTTTCTGTCTTCTTGCTTCCATCACAAAATTGAATGACACTAAGAATGCCTGAAATTGGCTCTTCATCCCTATAGACATTGAAGCTGTTTGCAATTTTCAGAGTATACCCTAACAATAAGAAATCACAAATGCAGAACAAAGTTGACAGACTTCTCCAATAAACTGATGTATATATGGTTTTCATTTCTGAAGGACAAACTATGTCTGTGGAGTTGCTCTTACATACCAATCAATAGAAAACTCCTAATTCAAATCAATTTTGGTCCCAGACGTCCTTAAAAGCACAGCTGATCACCACAGAAGTCCAACTTCTGAATATGTTGTTCTGCCTCAGTTTCAATAGTTTCCTATTCTTTTTCTGCTCCCATGCATGCCAAAGTACAGACAGAGGATCAATTTTTAGTAGCATTGGCTGAAAAAACAGTGCCAGCTTCTAATTTTATCTAAGGATTAATTCTGTGAAGGACTGAAGAAGTCAGCAGCAACTCACCAGAGAAAACCTCAGCCATGTCACAGGCAAAAAGACACTTCAAGGACTTAGGTGGGATTTCAGCTGAATCTCCCAGCTTCTGAAGGACAATAGCTAATCTCTCGCTGTGCCTTCATTTCTTCCCCTTTTGCTTTTCCTAGTTTCGCCTCTCTTTTCCTTCCCCATTCCCAAGGATCACAAACACATCTTTTGAGACTGCTCATAAAACCCACTGGCCTCTGACAGGCTTGTAGTACTGGTAGGATTTCCAGTATTTTCCTGGTGGGATTTTTTATAATTTTTCTAAGTATATTGGTTGGGTTCAACAGTATATTGGTGTTCTTCTTCCTCTACACTCTGCAGAATTTAATGGAAACAAATTAGTTATGGGAAGTTACTTCTGTCCATAACCTCTCTTTACACATTACTGTGTCAGAGCAGTTTGGACATGGATGTATCTCCAGTGCCTGCTCAGTC